GAAGTCATACCACCAGGCTAGGATGCTCGACCTCATTTCAGATTACAGACAGCTTTGGCTACATCCGTTTCAGTTGGAAGACCAATGTCTACATCGCATTCAAGTAAGTGTTGCAGGCTGAGTGAATTTAGCGTGGCTGTAGGCCAGGTAAACTGCTCCTCAAATTCTTCCCTGCAAACTTCAATCTTCTATCCTCAGGGGTTATCAAAGTACCCTGCTTCTCGGAAATCGTTTCGCTTACCATTCCTATTTTACAACTCGTTTCCCTAATCAGTTTAAATACTTGTCTGGTCTTACTCACCACCGATGCCTTCTCCATCTCATTGGCTTTCGTCGCACACCACTTCTCACGGTCCTCTCAAAGGCTTTTATTTGGCTTACATTTATTTGACCAGCTTTCACTGCTACTCACGTTCGGAGCCCGTCGGAATCAGTCCTCTTGTGTCCACCGGTTCGAATGAAGCAAGGGGAATCCACTGCTGGCAGGCTGTCAACAGCCTCTACCACTCTTTCGACACACAACTGACTGGCTATTATACCCGGCTTCCTCATGATGCGTATTCATGTCAATCTCAGACAGACGTTTAATTATAAATCTGTTCATTTATTTACTTTACGTAAGTTATATATTCATTCACTTATTTATTAATCAATTAATTTATTTATTTATTTATTTATTTATTGAGTGAGGTTGTCAGTTATTGGTACATTCATTCTTCTATTTCCTGGATGAAGAGCTTGTGTTCTCATCAAGAAGTTGGGCGTGCACACGTTGTGTAGCTACCTGTTTCCCATGTCCCTTCAGTCGTAAGCATATACGTTCACAGACTATAGCGTGGTCGGAGTCTACACAGCTGTTCCACCACAAGGAGAAGCAGTCTTCTACCAACCCTCTACATCGACAGCTTATAGCCGTGTCACCTAATTGTGTCAGTCGTGGATTCTATGATGTAGGTCGTCAGGTGGGACAATGTCTGTCTTCATGTCTGAAATTACTGCTGACCAAGAGGAGATGATTATATGAAGAGGATCATGAAAGATATTGGACTCCATACTAGTCAAGTTGAACCACTCATGATCATCACACGAGGACTCGTCTCCCTTCTTGTGAACTGGAACAATCAAGGATTTTATCCAGTCAAGCTGGACTATCTCACATTCCCACATATTCCTGAATATCTCAGTTGACTCACACAATACTTCATCACCACCATCATCCATCCTCTAACACCTCTGAAGTCATACCACCAGGCTAGGATGCTCGACCTCATTTCAGATTACAGACAGCTTTGGCTACATCCGTTTCAGTTGGAAGACCAATGTCTACATCGCATTCAAGTAAGTGTTGCAGGCTGAGTGAATTTAGCGTGGCTGTAGGCCAGGTAAACTGCTCCTCAAATTCTTCCCTGCAAACTTCAATCTTCTATCCTCAGGGGTTATCAAAGTACCCTGCTTCTCGGAAATCGTTTCGCTTACCATTCCTATTTTACAACTCGTTTCCCTAATCAGTTTAAATACTTGTCTGGTCTTACTCACCACCGATGCCTTCTCCATCTCATTGGCTTTCGTCGCACACCACTTCTCACGGTCCTCTCAAAGGCTTTTATTTGGCTTACATTTATTTGACCAGCTTTCACTGCTACTCACGTTCGGAGCCCGTCGGAATCAGTCCTCTTGTGTCCACCGGTTCGAATGAAGCAAGGGGAATCCACTGCTGGCAGGCTGTCAACAGCCTCTACCACTCTTTCGACACACAACTGACTGGCTATTATACCCGGCTTCCTCATGATGCGTATTCATGTCAATCTCAGACAGACGTTTAATTATAAATCTGTTCATTTATTTACTTTACGTAAGTTATATATTCATTCACTTATTTATTAATTAATTAATTAATTAATTTATTTATTTATTGAGTGAGGTTGTCAGTTATTGGTACATTCATTCTTCTATTTCCTGGATGAAGAGCTTGTGTTCTCATCAAGAAGTTGGGCGTGCACACGTTGTGTAGCTACCTGTTTCCCATGTCCCTTCAGTCGTAAGCATATACGTTCACAGACTATAGCGTGGTCGGAGTCTACACAGCTGTTCCACCACAAGGAGAAGCAGTCTTCTACCAACCCTCTACATCGACAGCTTATAGCCGTGTCACCTAATTGTGTCAGTCGTGGATTCTATGATGTAGGTCGTCAGGTGGGACAATGTCTGTCTTCATGTCTGAAATTACTGCTGACCAAGAGGAGATGATTATATGAAGAGGATCATGAAAGATATTGGACTCCATACTAGTCAAGTTGAACCACTCATGATCATCACACGAGGACTCGTCTCCCTTCTTGTGAACTGGAACAATCAAGGATTTTATCCAGTCAAGCTGGACTATCTCACATTCCCACATATTCCTGAATATCTCAGTTGACTCACACAATACTTCATCACCACCATCATCCATCCTCTAACACCTCTGAAGTCATACCACCAGGCTAGGATGCTCGACCTCATTTCAGATTACAGACAGCTTTGGCTACATCCGTTTCAGTTGGAAGACCAATGTCTACATCGCATTCAAGTAAGTGTTGCAGGCTGAGTGAATTTAGCGTGGCTGTAGGCCAGGTAAACTGCTCCTCAAATTCTTCCCTGCAAACTTCAATCTTCTATCCTCAGGGGTTATCAAAGTACCCTGCTTCTCGGAAATCGTTTCGCTTACCATTCCTATTTTACAACTCGTTTCCCTAATCAGTTTAAATACTTGTCTGGTCTTACTCACCACCGATGCCTTCTCCATCTCATTGGCTTTCGTCGCACACCACTTCTCACGGTCCTCTCAAAGGCTTTTATTTGGCTTACATTTATTTGACCAGCTTTCACTGCTACTCACGTTCGGAGCCCGTCGGAATCAGTCCTCTTGTGTCCACCGGTTCGAATGAAGCAAGGGGAATCCACTGCTGGCAGGCTGTCAACAGCCTCTACCACTCTTTCGACACCGAAGTGGCGGGATATACAGCGGTGGTGATAGGCGTTATGTGAATGTAGAGACAATATGAAGTGTATTTTGGTAAATCGTCGAATTTTTTACAGTTATATTAACTGATGAGGTTTCGAGCACAAACTATTGCTCATAATCATATCAAGTTACTCAAACAACTTTTTTCTTTCATTTATATACATGTGTGGAATCGATTAGATATTGTTTTGAAAATAAATATGGGATAATGTACATTCGGAAATAATAGTACGAGTGTTATGGATCCATAAGAATTATATGGGAAATAAGACGAGTGCTTATATAGTCATAATAAGTTACTTGTTAGAATGTTGTGATGTGTTTGAATTGAAATAGAATTTTAGGATGATTTATTATTCTCTTGTGACTTTACCGGCGGTAATATTATCTTCCATATTTGTAGTATTTGCATTGATTCCTTTCTGTCGCATCTGTTGGGTGTAGACTGGATGAATAAGGATTCCGTAATCAACCTCTCTCTCCACCTACCTATTTTACTTTCCAGAATTTTAACCCTATCCCACCCTATTGTATGGTTGTTTGTTATTACGTGAAGTGCAATAGCTGAGCTTTTTCCTAAATTACTTATCTTTTCAGGGTCAACCATTCTTACCTTAGCTGACAATCTGACTATCTCTGACCAACTAGTTTGACCTATGTAGTTGACCTCACAGTCATTGCACGGTATTTTGTAAATTATATAATTTTGTCTAATTGGGTCAACCTACAGGGTCCTTTGACCTACACAGCTTGTCCTAACTGAGTGAGTTTGTAGGTTTGAATGCCATCCTAACTCCTGCTTTATTAAGAATCCTACGTAGGGCCTCAGATGTCCCCTCCTTTTATGGCATAACAGTAGATGACTTATATTCTCCCTTATTTATGTTATCATTTCTAGTTTCACAATTGTTTTTATTTTGCTTTTGGCCTTTTTCGATCTTCCTAATGAATTTTACAGGAAAGTTATTTAACACTAACGTCTCTTCTATCTGTTTTATTTCATCATTTAGGTCTTTTCTTGTGCTACTTAGTGCTTTTGCTCCGTTTCTTAGACACTTAGCCAAACCAGCCTTTACAGACAACGGATGAGATGAATTAATGTCTTAATATATATTAGAATGTGTTGGCTTTTTATAAACACTAGTGTGCAGTTTACCTTCTTCTGTTCGTTTTATTTTACAATCTAACATAGCTGATTCTCCTTGTTCATATTCCGATTCAAATGTGAACTTTATTCCCTTTACTAGTGAGTTTATGTGTCAATAAGTTGGAGATATGTTCTGCTTTTAACACTGTGTGTGAAAGTCTCATCCACATATCTCCACCATATTTTTGGACTAGGATTAAATGTATTAAGACCAATACTTTCTCCGCTGTCCATAAGTATATCTGCTACGCTAGGGGATATTGGTTATCCCATTGCTACACAGTCTGTTTGTTTATATATTTTGCCCTGAAATTTAAAGACAGTAGATATGAGGCATAACTGAATTCCTGAAATAATTTTCTCAACGGGCAGCTTTGTCCTATGACTAAGTTCGGGATCGGAAATTAGTTCTCTTTTAACTGCTTCTAAGGCCATATTGACTGGTATATTAGTGTAAAGACTAGTGATATCAAAACTAACCATTGTTTCATCAGTTTCTAGTTGAATGTCATTTAGTTTATTTTTCATCTCATATGAACTAGTTAATCTAGAGTTTGAACGATTTCTAATGGGAGAAAGTATTGCCACCAGTCAAATCAGAAGAGAATAATAAATCATCTTAAAATTCTATTTCAATTCAAACACATCACAACATTCTAACAAGTAACTTATTATGACTATATAAACACTCGTCTTATTTCCCATATAATTCTTATGGATCAATAACACTCGTACTATTATTTCTGAATGTACATTATCCCATATTTATTTTCAAAACAATATCTAATCGATTCCACACATGTATATAAATGAAAGAAAAAAGTTGTTTGAGTAACTTGATATGATTATGAGCAATAGTTTGTGCTAGAAACCTCACCAGTTAATATAACTGTAAAACACTGTGTGATTTATCAAAATAAAATCTTATCCGTAATGGAGTTGTACTCAGCCATAGTGCCCAAGTTTTATACTTATATCAACAATAAGAACTTGCATCCCTTTTTATGTTTATTAGGAGAATAATTATTTTGTTGCACTTTGGGCGTGAAGTGAGTGAGGAATTAGTGTATTTTTTATTTGCAAGGAAAATACTTTTATAATGATCGTAATTGATTTTCGACTTGAGTCAATCGGAGTTTGAATGATTAAGTGAAGATTCGTCAGGAAGTAGAATGTCCACATGTTATTTTATTTTAGAATTGAAAGATGGATTACAATTATCGAATATCAATATTATGTATACAGGTCTGGAATGTGAATATTTACAATGGGAGCACTTAATAAAGCTCTTTGGCTAACTTACAACATTCATCGTTTGGTATGTGCTCAGCAATTGCAATAGCGTTGGCTAAGATCATAGTTTCTCTGGGAGAATTCGCTGTTAACCAAATTCGTCCATTAACACCAATGAACACTTCAAATGGAAAGACCTAAATATATGGTAGAAAAGCATTTCATGTAAACCAAACAAAAAGGTATGGAAGTGGAGATCGATGATGGTGAGTGTATTAAAGTAAGCCTGTCAGAAACCGGTTGATAATAATGTCAATAAAAAGTTTGAGCACTGTGGAATAGATCAAATAAATTATAATTATATTTACACATAATGATAAGTAATTTTGCTCAAAATATTGCCAAAAAGAAAAACATCATAGCGTGTAAACCGGTTGATATTGTTGAAAGAAAAAATATGTAAGGTGAGATTCAAAAATAGCCTCTTTGATAGTAAATATTCTTAACTGCATCTACGAATTCAAATAGCAATCCGGAGGATTTTTACCAGATAAACACTATTCTATTATTCTACATCGCTTGTTTCATTAAGCACACTAACGATTTTCACAAAGCCTCGTGAATCATAACATGGGAGAGTTTGTAGAAAAGTCTCACTGGAATAGATCATGCTGAAATTAGACATTATATTGAATAATTCATAGAACACTATATTTACGATGATAAGACCAAAAAGCGGCTAGGTAAGGCTTGCTTCAATAGAAAACTTTTCTTTTTTCATAGGCTTTAAAGCTGTCTTCGTCAGCAAAACAAATGATTAATTTTTAGTCACCATTGTTGTATATGCAATATTACTATAAGGATAATCATCTAAATTTCATTCGGAAATGGATGTATTTTGAGATACTCAACTACCTGACTTCAATCTAGTCTAAGTTCGAATCGCCAACAACATTATTTCAATCTCTCATATTTAAAATTATCATAAAGTGTGTTTTACCCTTTGAACTACTTCTATTATTATATCCCTTGGACGCCAAGTGGAACATAGGATTACAGTATCACATAGCTACTTTATGCTGTTCTCTGACGTCTTTTTTTAGCTGACTATATGACAAACCACAGGCTTTCATTTCTTTACCACATAATCTCCTCTATCAGACACCCAACTCATCACTTCCCCAACTGAGTTCCACTCGAAGACCTGGAGTGTGATATCACTCAATAGTCTCCTCAACGTATGCCTAATCCATATCGATTTGCTTCTGGATATTTTTGTTAACAGACTGTTGGTATATATCGGTATATAAATGTACAACTATAGAAATGGATCTGTCAAAACGAAGACACTTTTCTATGACGTAATTGACTTATTTCCTTTTTTAAAAATGTACGACTTTACAAACTTTAATCACCATAGCTTCCACTTTTAACTTTTGTCATCGCTGATCTTATCTTCCACTGTATACGCCACTTGATAAGACTCATAATTATATCACAAAATCTATCGACTAGGTAACACCATATTGTGCTTCGTTCCTTTTAAGTACGGAAAATAAACTGATTATGATGAGTCAAAAGCTTCCCATATGTGAAAACTAACAATAAGCAATAAGATAAAGAATGCAAAGAATAATGAAATTCTAACCTTGGATAAAAGTTGAAGCAAAGGAAATACTTTTTGATCGCCTAGTCGTCTGATTAAGTCCTGAGTACAGTGTAACAGTACACCTCCAGGTCGACCCCCAGCATTTCCAACTGTTCCAGGTTCATAACGACCAAGGATGCCCATTCCACAAGCTTTTCCCGCTTCATCTACACATGATAACTCGACTTCTAAATCTACAAGACAGAGATATAAAACTGGCTGTTTCATGTGATAAAACTAACTCCAACACGTCTTTACCTCTATTTCGATTTATCTACACAAAATAATTTCCACCATAAGTTAAAAGAGAAGTTTAAAAAAGGCTTCTACATGGTTGTCAAGTCACAATAAACCCCCTTCAATTGTACATTCAAATGTTAAGTGAAAGGAACGTAAATTATGTATCATGAATAGTCATGAATACATGTAAAATGTTCTACCTTAGTGTACAGAAAAGTATTGCAGTATAGTTCATAAATGTCATTAGGTGCAAAATACTGATTCTATTAGCACTCCAGCATATTAAGTATACATCATTGGAGTCTGAAACGAAACGTAAATCAGTCAAACTACTACGTAAGACAATAAGGTAAAACCAAACATCACTTGGAAAACATCTTGGCAAGTTATTTGAACGTTTAGGATTATTTAGAAACTAGAATAAGAACGCATTTGTTTTAGTGTATTTGATTAATCTAGTAAAATGTCTTTCATCGACAACCAGGAGGCAGACACATCTACAGTATGATGCAGGGCGTCGATGGTGTTGAAGAGTTGGTGGGTTTTCAATGGTCTGCAGAGGATATGGTGACGGTAGAGAGGCTGTCGAGAGTTTGAGCTACTGAGTTGGATGATAAGAAAGAGTCACGAAGAAGGAGCTGACAGATGCTCTCTGAGTGGACATCAGCAGAGAGAAAAGATTTGTCTCAGAGAAAATGGAAACTGGTCAATGGACTGTTGGGAGAGAATACACAGAGAACTAGTAGAAGTGGAGATTTTGAAACAAAATATGTTGACACAGGAAATGTTAAAAGATTGTATTAGTACTATTGTAACATCGTGCCTTTGTCCAAGAAACAAAAACGAAGTCATCCTTCCAGTTGACCATTGGCAGGAATGAAGACTACTAACACAATACAACTTGACTGCACTTACATGGTACAGTGGAGAGGAGAAAGCGGACAAAAACAAGATGCCAAAAAAGTAGGCTGTAAATAGAGAGCTAACTCTACGAAATGGGAACAGCAGGAAGCAAAAGAAATGGAAACCACTTTAATTGGGCCATAATAGAGTACACCATTACAGGTCCATGAACTGACTTCCAAAGTCATAATGAACACTTACATATAGATATGATAGAGAAGATTTGCAGCTCAGGTGGATGATTTTGATGTGGTTTTGTTCTCTGAGCTGGATGGTTAGTTTGCGAAGCTTTCATCACCTTACTGGGTGACATCTTCAGCGCATACTTCAATTTGAAGTGAGCTTTTAGATTTCTCCACGAGTTTATTAATCATCTCTCCTGGTGACCTTGGACGTGATTGGTTGGATTACAACAGCAACAACCCAATAACACACAAAAGAAATTGCATACAAACACTATTCAAGAGAGCAAGGACTCACTGCAGCACTCCCACCTTAAGAAAAATTGAAGAAAAGTATCTCATGGACGTCTTTCAAAAGAATGGATATCCACGGAATTTCATCAAGAGACATATACCCCCAAGCCAACCTACCAAAGCAAAAGCCACCAAGGAAAGCACAAAGAAAATTGCCTTACCATATATAAAAGATATCTCAGAAATCACTACAAGACTCTTCAAACCTTTAGGAATTGACGTCGTACACAAACCAACAAAGTCGCTGCACTCAATTCTATGTCAACCGAAAGACTCAACAGCGAAAGAAGACAAAACCAACATCATCTACAAAATAAACTGTAACAACTGCGAAAAACACTACATTGACCAAAGTGGACGTCCCCTTCGTCTTCGTATCCACGATCATAAGCTAGTCGTCAAAAGACATGATATCCACTCCCTCATTTCACTACACACAGACAACTACGGACATCAATTCGACTGGGACAACGTTCAAATATTAGACAAAGGAAATAACAAGAATGCTAGAGAATTTTTAGAAGCTTGGCATTCCAGTGGATCATCAATCAACAGACACATCGAGATAGACAAAATTTATCAACCAATAAGAAAGAAACTTCACACACAAAGGGTCAAAGTTCAAGTCAAAGAAACAACCGGTTCCAATACAAGTAACCTAGAAGGTGTGAAAACACACACAAACAACCAATCACGTCCAAGGTCACCAGGAGAGATGATTAATAAACTCGTGGAGAAATCTAAAAGCTCACTTCAAATTGAAGTATGCGCTGAAGATGTCACCCAGTAAGGTGATGAAAGCTTCGCAAACTAACCATCCAGCTCAGAGAACAAAACCACATCAAAAACACTTACATATACGCAGCCACTTTCATACTTTTATTTTTTTTATTTTGATTACAGCTTGATTCCACACTGTATTTTTGGTACAAGTATGGAATTTTCAGCATGGATATCGGTAGCCCAAATTTTGCACGCCAACCATAGATATCAGGTGTGCGTCGGCAGGAGATCGAACCTCGGACCATGTGCATGGTCGGCGAGAGTCCTAACCGCTGTGCCACCGACGCACATGTGAAAATGAAACAAAAACACACATACTAATATCATACGACTTTAAACTAGAATACAGTGATAAGAAGCCCAGTCAAAGATACAACAGAAACATAAAACACCAATAAGGTTGACACGGTTGTAGGTATGAATTTTCGCTTGAGGTGACCAGTACGGTGTGATACAGGCAAGGACGCATAAGTAATATGCAGGGTAATAACCTCATTAAAAGTTAAAACAGATGAAGATTCATGAGATTTCCTACTAGAGAAATAACAGAAACTGATCGTCAATATAGAGAGCAATGAGAGCCAGACAGGCTTTAGACCAGGAAGAGGGTGTATTGATCATATCTTCACCCTCCGACAGATTCTAGAACATAGGTATTCCTACCAGTGTCCAACAATCATTATATTTCTTGACCTAAAGGCGGAATTCGATTCTATCGACCGAGAGGTTCTCTGGAGATGCTTTGCCGATTAAGGCACTCTACTCGTACTCATGCAGCCAGGTGAGGGCTTACGGCGAGTTGTCATCTGAATTGGTGACGACTAGTGGTGTACGTCAAGGATGCCCATTATCCTCATTTCTATTCAACTTCATCATAGATGTACTAATGGACTTAACCCTAACTCACTTCAGCGACTCAGGGGTTGACTTGCTACCAGGGAATAATCTCGTTGACTTAGAATATGCAGACGATAGTCCTTCTAGGAGAGGACGCTGACAAAATGCAGAGTCTTCTAAACACCTTGAGCCGCAATCTACGAATGTTTGGCATGCGATTCCCTCCCGCCAAATGCAAGATGATGTTACCGGACTGGACTACTGTGGTGATTGACAATTTCTATCTCTGTATTGTTTAAATACTTACTGTTGACTGTTGATATGTTTCTTATATGAATTGCATAATAATTCCGCTAAATACAAATTCCTGAGTTCTGCCCTCTCTGTGTTTTGTTTGGATTCTTGTAATTCGGTCATCTTGAAATACTAATACTTCGATTACAATAAATTACTACAAATTGGCGTCGCGATGGAACTAAATAACCTGGGAAAATTTCCCATTAATGGGTCTCCGCGGGAGATTGCTGATTATTTGGAATGCTTCGATGCGTGGTGCATTTCAAAGAATGTTCGGGATGACAAAATACCAGCACATTTCATCACTGCTATTGGGCTAGATGCGTATAGCCTAGTAAAGACTCTGTCATTTCCAGATAAACCTATTTCTCTGTCATATGTCAAGATTCGTGAACTTCTGACAAATCACTTTCATGTAACTACATTTGAGACCAGAGAGAGGGCTCAATTCCATAAACTGGTTCGTGCTCCCAACCAGAGAATTAGAGACTTTATTCTGCAACTCCAAATACAAGCTTCAAAGTGTAATTTTGGAGATCAGCTGCATACTCAACTACGTGATCGTCTAATTGCTGGAATCAATATTCCTAAGTTAGAGAAAGAGTTAATTCAGATTCCTTCTTGTACTTTTCAAACTGCTAAAGATTTATGTATTACATATGAAGATGTCAATAATGAATACTCTGCTCCCACTACGTCAGTGTCTGATGTTATGCTTTCTAAAGTCGAAAATACAAGTGGTAATGGAAAGCAATCCAAACTGCCGTCCACAGGTAATAGAATGCAGCGAGAGATCAAAAACATTAAACCGTGTTTATCCTGTGGAAAGTTACATCTACGAAGCACTTGCCGTTTTCGGGGTGCTAAGTGCCATAAATGTGGTAAAGTTGGACACATCAAGACGGTTTGCAGAAGTTCGAATACTTATGTTGCTCAACATTCTTATAATTCTCCCAAGCTGTCTAGTAAAATGGAGTCAATGTGTCTTTCAACTTTTCAAAATACTCAAGCTAATCCAATGAAAACCTCCACTGCAAGTTCAGCAACGCAAGTATCAACTGTATTCAAAAATGAGGTAGCTAAGTTGCAATGTGAACTGTCGAAAGCACGAAAAGACCTGAATGAGATGAGAGAGCAACTGATTAAAATTGAGGAATTACTGCATATGCATAGACTACGTCTGGTGAATGCAGAGCATACAAGTACCCGTGAAAGTCCTGCAAAACTTTTCAAATCTCGAATTCTCAGAAAGCATCTGAAGTTCACGACCTCTAATGTACATTATTACAAAGGTAATGACTATAGACCTTCTGTTGATATTATACTACAAAAAGTGGGAAATCGAGTGGTGAAGATATTAGACATCAAAGATCACTCAGTTCATAACAGACACCTGGACAAAGTGACAATAAATGAAGTAGGTCGTTCCAAATATTATTTTAATGATTCCGCTAATAATCCTGATTTTGTAGATAATTCAGAAATAGGTCCAGATAATACTGATGAAAATAATATCACAGAATCACTTAGGTCGCAGCTACTTCCAAGCAAACCGAGACATCGTTATAAGTACGCAAGGAGACATTCGACGTGTGGCGGATGTGGTGATTGACAATTTCTATCTCTGTATTGTTTAAATACTTACTGTTGACTGTTGATATGTTTCTTAAATGAATTGCAGAATAATTCCGCTAAATACAAATTCCTGAATTCTGCCCTCTCTGTGTTTTGTTTGGATTGTTGTAATTCGGTCATCTTGAAATACTAATACTACAATTACAATAAATTACTACAACTACACTGACTCCTAGTTTAGAAATAGGGAGTGAAGTGGTAAAGCACGTTGACCGCTTCACTTATTTGGGAAGTACCATCGGCCAATGCCAACGGGTTGATCTCTGACGAAATCTCAGCACGAATACAGGGGGCTCGTTTCGCATTTGCCAGTTTACGCCGACTCTGGCGTAGACGAGATGTTCGACTATCGACCAAAGGGCTGGTGTACTGCTCATCAGTCCGCTCCGTCCTCCTTTATGGCTGTGAAACCTGGCCATTGAGAGTGGAAGACATGAAAAGATTAGCTGTCTTTGATCATAGGTACCTGCGCTCTATTTCCCGTGTAAAGTGGCATAATAAGGTGAGCAATATTGAGGTTAGGCGCCGAGTTCTAGTTAAGCAAAGGAAATCAATCGACGAGGTTGTGAAGTTACATCGACTGAGATGGTTAGGACATGTGTTACGTATGCCAAGCCATCGCCTTCCTCGCCGGGCAATGTTAGCTGATATAGGGTCAGGCTGGAAAAGAGCTAGCGGAAGTCAAACCAAAACATGGCACCAGTCAATGAAATCCCCAACAGTTGGTCTAAGTCACGTAGGAAGGTGTATACTTCCAGGCTGGGGTCCTCGGGACGGTAAAAATCCATGGTTGGAAACAATTGGTGACATGGCTCAAAATCGTTCTCAGTGGCGCAGATGCACCCACTCCTTATGACTTATAATCTCCAATGAAACTGTTTTGTTCTTCGTTACTACTATTCCTTTGTCTCACATCTCTGTGTACTGTATCTATTATGCCTTTCTTGTACTTTCTTCTCTTACTTTGTGTGATACATGGAGTGTGGTGACTTGAACTGCCGCACATATGTGCAAAGTTCTATGTCGAAAACAGATAGACAGCATGGAGTGAACAGGTTAAAGCTGAAGATTAACGCAGCATAAAACAGAATATGAATAACTTGTACAAAATCAATTTACAAGGTACTGTTTTTTTATATTTTATTAGCAATATATTCAATTTTACTAATACACATTTGCGCATCAAGTCTCCACTGTGTTCTTAACAATTGTCTGACCAGATGTAGAAGAGGCACTAATGAGAATCACTTATTTCTAACTAAGCTGAGCCGCACTTGAAGCGAGCAAACTGCGTGACCTTCTGTTTAAAGTCGAAAAATTCCCATTCATCCGAGAATTTTAAGCAGTTACAAGTTAGTGAAGTGACAGGTCATGTAAATTACATCCATTATGAAAACAAGGATGCATATTATAGCTGCGAACTACTATTTACTTTGGAAATCAAACTTCTAAATATGCATAGAATGAAAATAGGCGCTGGACGGTGCAACCGAGATAAGTTGGATTCAGGTGTTTCCCATTGGTTTGAACCTTCACCTTACAGGTCCCGAGTTTCAACCTAACACCACCAACGATAAATATCTCACTTTCTTCCAAATTGTTTTTTTATTTAAACGGACTGAAAATCAAAAACATGAAAACAGTTCATTGCTGAGGGGAAAAACTCCATACAATTCCAAAGCATTTCTCTAGCAAGTTATTACATTACAGAGTAACAGAAAGTAGAATTTTTAGACAAAAATATATCTACTGTAACCACCAGAAAAGTTTTCAGTTTCACACAAAATTATATAGGAAATTCTACTGACTGTAAAAGACAACATGAGAAGTAAAGAGAAATTCAAATTTATTATTCGTTACCACTGAATTATGAAAAAAAGACTACAATATATTTAAAAAACACTCACCTCTATCAGCCCGCTTAATCATGGCAAAAATGACATCACCTGCATGAATATCAGGACGGTTCTTTTTAGAAGAACCTTCAAACGATTGGTATTTGATCGTAGCAGGAGTGGCGCAACCAATGTCAATTACAAAATTTCCACCAGCTCTTCTTATTACAATACCAATAACCTTGTCCTCCTTTTGGAACTGACCAACATGACAGCGATATGAAAGTCGACTAAGTGGAAGCAACGTGGTTACTGAACCAAAGCATGATGGGCTCTCTATCCAAACATAATTTTCTTCCGTATCGCCCGATGAATCACTGGATTTAAAACGCTTGACTGGGGTCAGTGGCTCCGAATTTTCCACTGTTCTCCTTTTGAATTTCAAAACACCAAACTGTAACAAATAATAAAAACACTTTAAACATACATTCATATATGAAACCTGCACTTTGGGCTGAAAATTCCATAATTGTACTAAAATGCTGTGTGGAATCAGGCTATAATAAAATTTAGAATTAAATTTAATTATTTTATGCTGGAAAAAGTATTTACATAACTAAATATTTTGTTTTTCGGAAAGATATGAAGTTCATGCCTATTTTTAGTTATAATTTTCTTGGATTACTATCAGTTTGATACATCTCAACAATATATGAAAATATAAGTGAGTACCTCAACAAACAGAGAAACTCATGGTTATAATTGGTGAAATAACACACAAAGTGAGTCTTTTGATTCTTTACTCTCCAGACTGAGTCTTACGCGAATCACTCCGTGCCATATTGAAGTGGGTCCGGAACAATCAAATGTTTAAGCTGTGAGTAGTCTTATTTCGTCCTCTAATGTTGCTTATCCTGGAGTATGGTTCCCGCCTACTTCTTCAGATTAGTTAAAATGCATTGGTCACGGATTCCAGAAAGATAGAGAAAGAAAAAAAAGAACTTGTGTAATTTTTAGACCTTACAAATTAATCCCAATTTAGGTGTAAGGATGCCCGATCACGAAATAAATGAGAACGAAAACAAGATCAATCCAGATGTTTTTAGTTACCCACAAGATCTACCAAACATCACGACAATTGTTGAATATGACGTGGACAATGACGATGGTGAGTGGTTTTGATATAAGTGATCTGGGTATTAGTCCAGAAAAGTCGGAATACATCACAGACCATCTAGAATGTGGTTGTGATCCTAAGGTTATGGATCTAAAAGGATATCGTGGAACGTCATGACCAGTAGGGTGCAGCAGGTCAAAGGTGAGGACAAATACTCACCGAAGAGATTGGCTAGTGGTCCAGTCATGACAAATATTAGTTATTATTACTATTTCTATTAGCTATTACTGTTCAACAAGAAGGCCGCGATGGTGGCAGTTATAGCAACCGATACATGGCATTACGGGGACACATCGAGAAAATTCGGACGCGTAAAAACGTAAAAAGTGATAAGCTTAACATGAGATGCAGATTCTTCGGGGACGTGGATTCCTTGGTCGACATGTCAAAATTAACAAGAAATTATGAGTATGTGTGACTATACATTTACCATTTACCAAGCAAACTACTGGATTGAGTCCAGTCCCCTTAGAGGCAAGCAAAACTGGGGAAAATAAGGAAAATGCGATGACAGAAAACTCTGAAAAACATAACAGAAAGCATCGTAGAAGACTCTGCAATCTCCTGGACTCCACAAGTTTTAACGGCATTCCTGATAGTGAAAATAGCCAAAATGGACCATTTTTCTCTATTTGAACTCCTGGCTGCAAATATTTGAAGCCAAGACCTTTAATGAAGAAGCCCACTACGCAACCAAGCTCCCACTTTCCCGTCCATTTTAATCCTGCTACACACTGAGAACAGTTACATGACTGGGCAATACGAAGTATTCTACATACCCAGACTACGTAAGGCGTCTTCTGCTTCGGGGAGCATCGGTAATTCATGATCCAATTGAGGCTCCTATACCACTTATCTCGAAAGCTACGATGCTGATTCGCAGTACACCGACACACATAATGCATAATAAGCATCTTCAGACCTATGCTGTAGACAACCAAGCACCAAAAGTGTAGCTCGTGCGTAAATGCATTATCATGTATGTGCCTATTGACAAACAACACATGTCATTGAAAGAATTGAACGTACCTGTTTCACTAAAACTGAGTCCGCCAGTTTACGCTTGCCCATAGCACTTTTCGTTCTAGATGCTGGTACGTAAACAAGACCTGGACCAATGGACCAAGTAATAATTTTATCAGGTCCTGTTAATTCAAAAATCATCCCTGGTAAGACCAAACAATCCACAAAATTTTGGTAACTAGATTCGTTTGAACACGTCTGGAGACGCACCCCATGTATAATGTTCTCGACAGCAGCCGAGGTCATTGAGTGATAGATCTACACGTGATCAAGAAAGGATTAAAGCTTAATATTAGTATAGTGAAAATATTTATTCAGGCATCTATGAAACACAAAACAATTGAGCAAAGAATATCCTTTTCAATAATTTCCTCTTCTGGCTCCACAATTATATATATTTGTATACATAGAATATTCTAGATTAGTAGTCAATAATATTAATGTTTTTTAAATAATATCGATTCGTGAAGTAAGATCAAGGGGATTACAGTTCATTATAAATTATTATTATATCTTTTAATTGCTAGAGGAACATAGGGCTTCAGCCGCGCGTCTCCACTGCCTTCGGTTTTCTGCCAACGTTTTCACCCCGCTCCAAGTCTGCCCACATGCTTTCATCTCCTCTTCACATGACCTCCTCCAAGTCGCCCGCGCCCTGACGACCAACTCGCCGCTTCCCTTTCGGGTTCCACTCGAACAATGGCTTGTCTAGTGATGTCACTTGATGGTTTCCTCAGCATATGGCCAATCCATCTCCATTTCTTCCTGCCTGTTTGTTTCACAATCGGTTCCTGGTTGGTTCGCTCCCAGAGATCCCTATTGCTAATCTTTTCTGGCCATCTGATCTTGAGTATTGAGTGAAGACAACTGTTAATGAAGGTCTGAAGTTTGTTTGAGATGCTCTTTATGACGTGCCAAGTCTCTGATCCGTATAGTAGCACTGAATTCACATTGGAGTTGCAAATTCGGATCTTATTTTTGATGCTGAGTGATGTTGACCTCCACACAGACTTAAGAGCAATGAAAGCTTGCCTTGCTTTTCCGATACAGTTCACTAAAGATGCTTAAATTATAATAATATATTTCTTTATTTATTTTTGATTACAGCTTGATTCCACACTGTATTTTTGGTACAAGTATGGAATTTTCAGCATGGATATCGGTAGCCCAAATTTTGCACGCCAACCATAGATATCAGGTGTGCGTCGGCAGGAGATCGAACCTCGGACCATGTGCATGGTCGGCGAGAGTCCTAACCACTGTGCCAACGACGCATAACCCACGACCCTGAGATTAAGAGTCTCATGCTCCATCGACTGAGCTAGCCGGGCAATATAGAATATCAACTAAAATGGGAAAAATTCCACAAAAATTGAGGATAATTCAAACCTAGATGGCCAAGTTAACGATAATGTCTGAACTAGTTTCTTTTGGACGCACAAATTAGGCTTCTTAATATCAACCCCAACTACTACTACTACTAAGTATTTCCGTTCCTATCGCAAACATCAACACTCCGGCAAAATCGCGTTTTATTTGTAGATATAATTCAACCAGAAGTTACTAAAGATATGCTTTCCACCCTCCAACAATGAACTTGTGAAATAACCTAAGAATTACACTCTGCATCCATATGAGAAGACAAATTCAACAATATTAAGAAATCACTAAATATCCAATTGATAAACATTTAATTCATAAATTACGTCATTTTGCAGAAAATGGCATAAATACCACTAATGTCCTAAGGCTTACCACGTTGTAAGGCAAACCTATTCATGCTAACCTCAGTGAAATGTTACTTAAATTCAAATAAATAAAGACCACTCATAAACAACATCAGTAATGTGCAAACCAATCTTGCTGGGAAAATAATATTATGTAGCATTGGAAAGTAATTGCACCATCTGGTTATCGAATAACTCATGAGGACAGCATTTCAGCCACAGTTCACAATGCCCTCCATCAGATTACAGCCGCTTCCAAATACAGACTAAGTGCGACACTTAGTCAAGTGCACATCCTTATTCTTTTAAATCAACTATAAATTGAAGCACATTAGATAAACCAGAAATTCTTACACTCAGTAAACCTTATTCGAACAGTTTTCATCTCAGCCAACACATTCCTTCAAGTAGCTATGATACTTGAATTAGTTACAAAAAGGAAACGACTGGTTTCTATGTACTCTTTCAACATCATTTCATGGATCACACGACAAGACGTCGAAGTCAGCTCGTTCTTAAAAATGATACCAGTTTTATGTATTTCGACTGTCTGTCACATCATGGCAGCTTAGATTTTTGGAGTCATACTTATTTGACTTAGAAATTTCTGTGCATCAGAAACATATATAAGTTTCTTACCTTTCTAGCGACATTCACCTTGACATGTTCGCCATATCAGAAAACAGACAAACCACTTTAGGAGCTCGTTGGCATCCGATTGTGCATTACATAACTATTTTGGCTGGAGCCATACAGACATGAGTTTTTGAGTCTACATACAATCTGAATACCCATATACTAATATGATAACAAAAAGTAGGAGGACGTAGTTAGTCCTTAAAAATTGATCTTCAGGTACCGACTAGATATAGGAAGTGCTATGAAGCATTTTAATCCAATATCTAATCGATTCCACACATGTATATAAATGAAAGAAAAAAGTTGTTTGAGTAACTTGATATGATTATGAGCAATAGTTTGTGCTCGAAACCTCATCAGTTAATATAACTGTAAAACACTGTGATTTATCAAAATAAAATCTTATCCGGCAAAGTTAAACTTTAAGCACCACTAACCAGCAATGGAGTGCGACCTCACCAATGACATTGAAACGCTCACTGAGCAAGTTGGTGAAGCCTGGCAAATAATGTTGTCATCATCAATAAAATATGCTCATCGGAGTGTTATGTTATTAAATGGGATATCTGGCAAGTTTCAGCTTAGGTTTGGGAAGTATTAAGTTACGTTTTAAGCCAAGGACAAGTTAGGGTTAGATTAACCTAATAAGGGCGACATTATAGTTGGTTTGAGTTAGATTACAGTTATTTTAGAGATATTTTCACGTTAGGGTTAGGTTCAGGAGAGATTAAGGTTATTTTTAGGGCTTGAAGACCTAAATAATTACATGCATAGAATGTGGTTAAATTACTCTGTTGATATAAGAATAGAACTGATGCACTGTGGTAGAGTATAATTCCATTGTGGGTAAAATTTATTTTGATAAATTCTCAGCGCAATACTGTAATATTCACTGATGACGTTTAGAGAGCAATTTATTGCTCAGTAAATATCACTGTATAACACTAGTGTTTTGAGACTTTATCGAAATAAATTTTACCCACAATTGAATTACACTCTGTTGATACACCAACCGAAAACTGAGAGCTACTTGTATCATATTTGATAGAAAGGTATCCTCTATTATTGTATCCTTTAGTTCCTAGAGGAACATAGGGCTTCAGCTGCGCACCTCCACTGCCTTTTGTTTTCTGACAACTTTTTCACCCCGCTCCAGGTCTGTCCACATGCTTTCATCTCCTCTTTATCTTTATCATATTTGATAGAAAGGTATCCTCTGTAACACTTTAATACAGTTTTTATGCATTTTTTTCATCAACACATGTATTCTACACATAAAAATGGCTCCTTAGCGTGACGGGTGCGTTCGAGGTCATTCGCCCATTGGTAATCAGTGGTGCTTAAAGTTTAACTTTGCCTCTTATCCATAATGAAGTTATACTCTACCACAGTGCCCAAGTTTTACGCTTATATGCTATGAAGCATCATTCTAAATCAAATCATGCCTGCCAATTTTGAAATCAAAGAGATTTACTGCGTACTTCCTCTGCAATTCTATACTGTTATTTGGTGCTGTTAGGTTGTGTAGAACTTGTTTGCATCTGAATTCTGTCTGGTTGTCCAAGGCCACAGTTATTTTGGCTACAGTAGTTTAACTTTGCCAGTAGAAGACTTGAAAAAGCATATGATTTGTGAAATACTAAATGGACATCACAAGACTAGAAGCATTACCACAAGTCGCACACTTTTCGACTAACAGCGCAAGGGATTAAAAGTGCGCCGTAATTCAATTAACAGATGGAATATTCAAAAAATGGGCCGAAATTATCCCGCATGCTCAAGGTCGTTGATGGAGTGAGACTCTTAAAGGTCATTTACGTCCATGTTAATGGAAGCCTGTTGACAGGCACAATTTTGAGTTAGCTGCTTGGTTAAGTTCTGAATTTCCAGGAGCCTTTTATCAAGTCGGATAGATAACTGACAACGCAAACTATTACAGCTCAGGAAAGAAATGATATACCAGTGGATTTATTTGCTGAATTCAACGAATTCATGCCATATCAAGATGTAAGGACTTCTCAGGAGTGTCAAGAATGCAAACAGTGTTCTGAAGATGTAATAACTTCGAACAACTTCAATTATCGCTTGACGCTTTTTCAAAGATCCTTAAATAAGTATAATATACACGGTGGTCTGGTTAATCATGATAAAAACGGCATGGTTCATGCAGCATCTACTGATACTTATATATGTAGGTATACTTAGATATACTGTGTTCTTGTCACGAAGATCGGAAAGCAGGTATCAGATGTCTCAGTAAGCAGTGTTATACATGTAGGCTACATGTTTTAATTTGACATAAACTGGATCTCCATTCACTTTCAGGATTAATTTTGAGTCCATTTGGAATAAGCTAGTTGACCACGTCAGTATTGCGAGAATATGATGAAGGTAAGTAAACACCTGCTTCATAAGATCGTGATACATTTATTTGATATGGTTGTATTATTAAAAGTTGTCTATCTAAGTTATTTTTGAATTCGTTGCGATAATAATGCCTATTATTGTTCTTATAGCCATTATGAACATGAACGTTATTGTTATAATTGCTGTCAAGACCTATTACTTGTCATAAAGCCGTTGTCATTTTTACTAAAATCTTTGTACAGGCTTTGGAAACTACTGCATAACTTGTCGTTCAATAATTTTATCATTTCATGATGCTTCGATGTGCCTACAAGATATCGACCGACGACAAATTGCGAAGTCCTCTAAGTTTAGTCAAAATTATTAGACCACACATATATATTGTTTGTGAAGTGATTACTTGTAAATGCTTATCAAGAAATTTTTTGATTCGGATCATACATGTAATACCCAAGTTAATGATGCTTTTCTCAAACCTTTTCAGACTTATGCAAAGCATATATGTGCCGCGTACGCAGATGGAACTTACTGACCGTAACAGAGGACCACTCATCTGAATTATCTGTACATTTGAAATCTGCTTTCTGTTTTATAAACATTTTTCAATGAATCTGTGTTCCTTCTGTTGTAATGCGATTGTATTCTAGTATTCTTCACCACCAATATTCGCGGACAAACGCAGTGACGTAAAATGCTGTCTACCATTTTCGGCTAGCCTGCTCCCACCACAAAGTAACATGTGCCAAGTTGGGAGTTGAAAGTAAACTTTCATGAGTAAATGCGGCGCCTTGAAAACTTTTTTACGTGATTATATGAGCAGATAGCGAAGTATCGTGTTCTGTGGATGAGAACCGCAGGCACTCTGTCTTTAATTATTACGATAACCGCAGTTGCACTGAGTCACACATCTAGCAGTGTAAACACGATAATTAACCATGAAACATGTTTAAAATGGCGAAATAATTTGTTGAATTGCATATAATTACGTTAGTCAACTGTCAATCATGTCTCATAAACCGTTAATGCCCAGCTCTCGCTACGCTCGGGCCCACCCTGTTCTTCGAAGATTTCTCAGAAACGCTTAGTTATAACGGACGCAAAAACCAAAACACTGATCTGCCGCTTTAGATTTGTTTATTGTTACACCAACATATAAAAGGAATAAGCGAACTAAGTAAACTAAGGTCTGTAAACAAATATTACAATAATAAATCGTTATATTACTTCTGACGATATTTTACTCTTCTTTCTGAACAGCGACCGATGAGACGATGACTGTCGTATTGATGCCTCCGCGAAAATTGGGGAAGTTGATTTTGAGCAAACAACCAAGAATTGATCGTTCAATCTTCAACTCCATTGACACTCCCCGGCAAAAAAGGGATCCAAACCTTTTTTCCTTCACGACCAATGCACGTTGACTTGGATGAAATTGCGAGAACCGGGGTCACACGGACAGACCTGAAATGGAAAACAAACAGAAAACACACCACAAGCATACCCACAGCACAATCTCACACATCGCTGACGACCTGCGCCTCCAGACAGAGACCTCCTCTTGACATCTTGCAACACAATCGCCACTTGCTAGAATGACTCTTGCAGACTGCAACGTGACCATGGCAGCACCTCACGATACTCTACGCACATCCTCTTATCTACTCATTACCAATTACCACTGCAATCGCTTGTGACTCATTCTGCCACAGTTCTAGTAGCGGTGACGCATGCGAGCCTCAGTCGTTTACACTCTTTCTCCCCGGCGTGTCGGACCGCAGCTAACAATTATCTCCGTGTGCATTTCATTCTCAGTAATAGCCTAGCCTCCCCAGCGTATACGACCCATCTGCTGTCCTTAACATCAATCAATTCATTCATGGATGTAGAAGACTCGAAACAACTTCAGAAGTAATCACGACGAAAATTTTAACAAAATTACGCAATAACAACAAGGTACGTAAACAACGAGTAAACACAATGAATCCAAAATACACCAATTGATATGACACACCACACGTATATACAAATTGTACAAACAACCTCGCCGATCATGTCTTGGTGGAATTCCTTTGAAGAATTGCAGGACCGACACCAGTACGCCTACAACCCTTCTCAGGTTGACGATTGTAAGTTGTGGAATGTCCGGACACAAACAAGATTATTCAACAATTACAATAATTGGAACTCACACAACTATTTAACACAAACATATGTACAATCAACACATCAAATGTTGTGGATTCTGACACGACAAACTACCCTTGAAGAACTGTAGGACTTACAGCAGTACGCCTACATTCCTTCTCAGGTTGATGATCCAAGTGGAAGTCGTCCGGACACAATCAGAATTACCAACAGCTAGATGACAGATGATATCAATTCAGTATATACAATATGAACATATGTACAAAATCACACACCAAGCACATTGGACTGCTCATTGATGCGCTATCCTTTGAAGAATTGCAGGACTTACACCAGTACGCCTACAACCCTACTCAGGTTGACGCTCTAGGTCGGAAAATCGTCGCAGAGTTCATTTGCTAACTTCCTTCTATCAGCTATATCCTCAAATCTGAACGGTAACACGCTCATGTCATTGTATCGTAGAATATAGATGACGAACAAACACACGACGTATCTGGTCAACCAAGCGCAGAAACAGAGTAATTTACACCAAAGATAGTAACATTCAAATAGTAACTTGAAACTAGAAATGCCTTTATTCGTGCACGTCAATTTAACAATTACTCTTTCGTTTACACTTGGCTTATCCTCACTAAACTGACCATTGATATTCGTCCTTTCAAACGAACTGAGTTGATGGGTGTCTGTCTAATTGTAGATGACAGCACCAACGACGACTGATTGATATCAGTTGATGAAGTTAGCGGTGGATCAGAAGCTGTTGTTGCTCGACTTTCAGAAATTTGTCTACATGCAAGACCACCACCACTGCTGTCTTTTACTATCAGCTCAGGTGTAGCACTAGCACCTGATGATAGGTGGGCTACATGCTGATCACTTACACTGACGGTCTCACAAGTATGCATGCCTTCTGCAACTGCACCTGCATTTATTTCTAATTCAAGTTCAAGTTGTACAGAACCCTTGTTCAACTTAGCAGTAGTAGGCATATCCCTCATCTCATAATGATCAATCAAAGACAAATGTGAAGTATCATGATCATTATCACAAATATTCAATTTACCGTCAACTTCATCATTTTCAAACTCTTTAATAACAGAAGTAGATGATTTGGGTTCCTCCTCGCAAATCCTAAAAGGTTTTATAACTTCACTCTGACTAGTAATACCTTGTAAACTTGTAGGGTCAGAATTGCACTCTGAAGCAGCAACTCTATTCTGTGACACTCTATTCAACAATGGCTTACCAGTTGCAACTACAGACTTCTTCACCGCACCGTTATCGCCACACAATTCGGAGTCAGGCCTGGAGTTTACATTTAGCTTATCACTGAACTTGCTCACTGGTTCACAGCTCACCTTTGTATGCACCTCTTGCAAACGAGTACAACACAACCGTGTTTGTCTTGCATCTTGCAACTTATCTGTTGAGGATGTACTACGAAACCTGTTACACTCACTAGGTCTATATGCATTACTAGACATCATGGAGCCTTCTCGATATCCACCTCTCTGAGTCCTATTCGTCATCAATGATTGCGTTTTGCCCTCAGACTGCTCTATTCTAGGGGTGAGATTCAATATACTGGCAAACTTGCTCATAGATAAATTGACACTAGTATTTACGAGTTTCAGGATATCATCAAATTTTGGCTCGATACCCTCATCCTCCATACGGGAGCTTATCTTCACCCACTTCCTTTGCATTCGAGTAGGTAGGCGTCTTGCTATTACTTCTAGGATAAAACTCGAGTTGAGGTCACTAATGCGATTCATCGAAACCAATGCATCCTTGTTTATCAGCCAATTATGCAAAAACTTAGTGAGTGTCTGGGAGTCATCCTGTAATTGATCACCATTACCCTAAACAGCTTCGAATAATTTCCCTACAATCATCGAAGGTCTTCCAAACCTTTGACGTAGTATGCTCATAGCCTCATAGTGTGGTGAGAGCAGGCGGTTAGCCAATTGGTGGATATTAATCGACACTGATTGATAGACATTATTCTGGGCTGATTCAACAACCAATCACATCAGACTTAAACGCGGGCAAATATGATTCGCAGATAAATGGCTCTACTTTCCGAGAAATATCGAAAACAATCAATCAGAAGACTGTGTTTGTCTGCTTAACTTCCGAGAAACAACCAATTAGAATACTGAATTTTTCTGCTTGCATAAGCCTTATTAATGTATATAAAATATATATAAATACGCGTTGGTTTTCGTAATAAGACGATCTGCTGCCTGGCCCTTTTCTTC